AATGCGTATCGTTTTCCAAGTATAACGAACCACACGAGACTCCAGCGAAACGCTGTAAAAATTAGATAAAAATTATAACTCGTAAAAAATCGTAATTTGATAAAAAATAGCTATCCATGAATTCATTAAGGACATAGAAAGTAATTCTAATAACATAATTAATCTCACGAAAATAAGGAATATTGCCATTCCACAGTTCTCTGTTTTTTTAAATAATAATACCAAAACAAACATGATACATGACAAACTTACTTTTATGTATAAAAAAAACTATAAAATTCTGTCAACAAAATCCGAATATTATTTTCACAAAAGCAGACAAGGAAAACACGACCGTAGCGATGACCAAGAATTTTATGTATGTAAAGTTAAGGAATAATTAAAAGACAAATGTAATTACACAATAATTAAAAACAATCCAATAGTAAAAATAGAAAAAGATCTAAATAAGAATTTAAAACAATGGTTGAAAAATGATTAGATCACTAAAAAAGAATATTATTTTGTAAGTTCTAGTGATTCACTGCTTCCCAAAGCATACGGCTTGCCTAAAATTCATAAAGAAAATGTTCCACTCAGATTAATAGTTTCATCAGTTAACACAGCATTACACCATTTAGCTACACATTTACACAATATTTTAATGATAAGTTTACCTAAAACAATAGTCATGTGAATAATAGTTTTGAATTATGTAACACATTATCTAATCTTAAATTAAACAACAATGAAATAATTGTATCATTGGATGTAATATCGTTGTTCACGAATGTACCTCTGGACCTTGCAATAGACAGTATAAATAACAGGTGGCATTATATTGAAAACCACACATTATTGGCAAAAATGAATTTGTTAATGCTATTATATTTATTTTAACTTCAACTTTCTTTACATTTAATAATACTATTTATAAACAAATTTATGGAACCCCTATGAGATCTCCAATCATAGCAGATATTGTTATGCAAGATTTAAAAATTACGATACTTGATAAAATTAATGCAAATGTAAGATTTTACTATCGCTATGACATTTTAGTTTGCATGCCGGAGGATCAGGTCTCATATTTAGTTGAAAAATTTAATGATTATCACGATAGACTAAAATTTACAATAGAACGAGAGGACAACCGTTGCATAAGTTTTTTTGAACATTTCACTCAAAATTATAAATAACATAATTCACATTGATTGGTTTCAGAAAAAAACATTTTCGGGTAGAACACTTTCATATTATTCAAATCATCCTATGTATCATAATAAAAGTGTCATATATAATCTAGTCGACCGATCATTACTATTATCACATTCTATTTTTCACAGTAAAAATTTAACATTAATTATAGAGATTTTATTAAGTAATAGTTATCCTCTCGATCTCATTTTCTTAGAAATTAATAGAAGACTGAAGTTTCTCATAGTTAATAGATTAAACACCGAAATGACTCATATACGAATAACAATGACATAAATAATGACAACAATAAAAAATTTAGCGATACCATACATTGAAAGAATCTCGGAATTAGTAGCATCAGAGTTAAAGAAATCTAATATAACAGTAAAATACAGAAGTTTGAAAAAATTAAATAGAGTCATAAAAACACAAAAAGACAGAGATAATCGTCAGAATAATTCGGGTGTCATATATAAAATATCGTGCAATAATTGTGATGCTACATATGTAGGGCAAACTAAAAGACAATTAGGCACAAGAGTAAATGAACATAAAAATAATATCAGATTGGATTCTGCAAGACACTCGGTGATTTCTGATCATATTGTAAAGTTTACACATACTTTTAATTGAAACAACACAAAAATCTTGGATCACGAAAGGAATTATTATAAAAGGTTGATATCGGAAATGATATACATTAAAGAAGAAAAAAAACAGTATCAACTTAAAAAAGGACACCGAGCGTTTTGACGGTTCGTATTTTGATGTTTTAAAAAAATTGTCTATGTCATCTTAGCATGGCGATATATATACAGCGTTCTGACATTGTAATTTACAGATATTGAGTTTGTTTCTTATAAAGTATACATTGTTTATAATGTTTTTCAACAAGAAATATTTTAAAGAATTTTTATCGTCTCGACATAGATGTAAGTGATCACTATTTATTTAAAAATCAAATATTTAATATTCAGGCTAACACATTAATTATTTCACAGCTTATTACATATCATTATTACATCATGGATTACAAAATTAGACGTTTATTTAAAAGAACTACAGAAATTTGATGTTCGGGATTAGGCTCTTTAACGACTAATTCGAACGATCAGCCGTAATTCAAGCCAACAATTATAAGGTGTTCAAAATTGAGAAGAAAATTAATAATTGTTTAAGTCTATAATTTCAGTCTAAAAATCGATATTTTCTTACATGAATATGCGAAAAAAAACCGCGGAAAAAGGGCTCGTCCGATATAAACAAGTAGGCGATAAATCAGGATTATCCTAACAAGCTGTCAATAATAACAACATTGCTCAACCGAAAGCAACGATTACCGCATTGATTATCGATGTAATAGACATGCGCCGTTCGATCACGTGGCTTCCGAAAGCCAATCGATCCCGCTATCGAGCGTTTCGCGCATGTCAGGTGCGTGCTTGTTTCGCGCAAATTACGGGGCGGCCAATAAAGACAGGCGCCCTCACGTCACCTTCGAACATTTTTAAACAAACGAAATTAATTGGTGAAGCAAAAATTAGTGGGGCTTCAGTACCGCACCGATAAAAGAAGCGCCCACCAAAATTGCGGGGCTAGTCTCTCGAATCTTAGTACGTACAACCGCTGTCAAACCGCTTAGAAATTACCGCAATTATTAACCGCACACACACTTTGAAATCGATCTCGGCTTATCTACTGGAACTTTTGTAAAATTACTGTATCGTCTAAACTGTGTTAAAGTAAACTCTGTGTTATTTTTTAAAGGGTGATCAATTCTTTTCGGCCTTCAAATACGCGCTCTCCTTCACGCGTACGCGCAAACATATTTTTGGTCCTTCGAGCCGGATTATCAGTTCGTCGCGCCGGCACGTTCTTGAAGACGAGAGTGAAGTGCCTGAAAAAGAAATACAGTGGGTGTCACATCATGGATGCCGCTATATTATTAGATAGCGTGAGATCCAAGTTCGAATCTCACGCTCTGTCGAATACCTGAAGAAGATGGGCGCTCCTAACATCACATCCAGTGCCGTCACTACCCGCATCAGACTTCTCGATCAAGCCTGGGATAAGTTCGTAATCCAGCACGATCAGCTGCGCATTGCCCTGAAAGATAAGTTTAGGGAAAGTGATTACGTTACTTCAGGACTCCATGATTTGATTGAAAATACGTACGTACAGCAAAGGAGCATCCTGGACGGCTACGCTGAACGCATTCGGTCAGCCTCGGAGACAGTCAAGTTAAACGAAGCCGCTCCTCGAACCGCATTACCTCGGGTCAGGATTCCGCAGTTTTCGGGAGCTTACTCCGAGTGGCCAACCTTCCGAGATCTCTTCCTGTCTGTCGTCGGTGATAACGCCACCATCTCTAATATTGAACGCCTGCATCATCTTCGGTCGAGTTTGAACGGACAGGCTGAAAAATTGATAAGCTCATTACCGGTGACAGGAGACAACTACGAACGTGCATGGACAATACTGTGCAAACACTATGAAAACGAGAGAGAACTCATCCGATGCAACTTCGCCGCATTCATCGCCGTGCCGAGAATGAAGAACGGAACCGCTGAAGAACTGCATCGCATCCATAACGCTGCCGTCACAGTCGTCAACGCACAGAAAAGTATAGGTCGTCCCATTGAATCTCACGGAATGGACCTCCTAAACTATCTGATCGTCGAACAATTCGACGCACACACTCGGATGGAATGGGAGAATTCCATATCCGACTCCAACAAGTTACCACAGCACGAAACACTTTTGGACTTCATGACGCGACGGATGTTCACACTTAACGCCGTGCATCCGAAGACTCTCAAGAAGAACTTCGGAGAGTCTTCACGAACGGCAAAGACACATGTTGCGAAGCACGGAACTGACCTTCCACAATGCGCACTGTGCCATGAAAAGCACCATCTGATGACGTGTCGCGAATTCAAGACGAAATTCGCTGCAGATCGAAAGGCCTTCGTTGAGACACAGACTGTGTTTCAACTGCCTCGGAAATCACTATCTCACAAAATGTCAGTCGAAGAAGAACTGCTACACATGCAAGGCACGTCATCACACTTCACTGCACGACGCATACAACACGGTCACCGCACATACACCAGAAGCCACTTCACTCGCCGCACTGCACAAAGCCAAGGAACAGAAGGCTGTGCTTCTCGCCACTGCTCGGGTGAACATAGCCGATCGCCATGGAGCACCGCACGACGTCCGAGCACTGATCGACCAGGGATCAAAGGTGTCGATCGTTTCTGAAGCACTGGTGCAACGATTGAACCTGCCTCGATCACGCACCGACATGGCCATCTTTGGGATCGGAGGCGCACGACCAGGGTCAACGCGTGGCAAGGTCACGCTGCACCTCACTTCGGACATCACGAACGCCCGGCTCTCTGTGATAGCGTTTATATTGCCACGCCTATCACTTCTTTAAGGCTCCACGTCCAGCACACTACAAGATTGGTCGCATATTCGAGGACTTCAACTGGCGGATCCTCAATTTCACAAGAACGATCCAGCCGAGCTACTCCTGGGAGCGGAGGCGTGCTCCTTAATTCTTGAAGAGGGTCTACGCAAGGGTGGACCTCAGATGCCAATTGCGCAGAAGACATCACTAGGATGGATACTCTCTGGAGGCTCCGACGTCGCATCCGCAGAAGAGCACCGTCGCACATTCCAGTGCACTGCCGATCACGAGCTACTCGAGCTGGTGCAACAGTTTTGGGAACAGAAACGGGAGACCAACGCAGTCACGACACTCTCCGTCGAAGAGCAGCAATGCGAGGAATTCTTCGTGCACACGCACACTCGCACCCCTTCAGGACGATATGTGGTGAAGCTGCCATTCTCCTCACCAATCACTGCACTCCGCGAAACCCGCAAACCAGCTGAGCGGCTTTTTACAACGATGGAGAGGCGATGCGTCCAGGACCGTCGATTCGGCAACCTGTTTCGCAACTTTATGAAAGAATACGAAGACCTAAAACATATGACGCTGGTGACATGCTCCACAACTAGCAATCAGTCAACGTACTTACCACATCATGGAGTACTCAAGGAGTCCAGTGCCACGACGAAGCTGAGGGTCGTGTTCAATGGATCGCAGCGAACGCGAACAGGAGACTCATTAAATGCACATCTCATGACTGGAGCAAATCTTCTGCCAGCTCTTCCTAACGTACTCCTTCGATGGCGTCAACACCAGTATGTCTTCGTTGCTGATATAGAAAAAATGTATCGGCAAATACTCGTGCATCCGGATGACTGCAAATTCCAAACGATCCTCAGCTGAGCGTCAACTGATGATGAAGTGCGAGAGTACCAGCTGAGAACGGTCACCTACGGTCTGCGTGTGCTCCGTTTCTCGCCATACGGACACTCCGTCAGCTCGCAACAGACGAAGAAGAGCAGTTTCCTCGTGGCGCCGTGGATCTGCGTCGAGACTGTTACGTCGACGATGTGGTCACCGGCTCAAATACGCTGAACGATGCGATCGCACTCTAGACGAAAATTCGCAACCTCTGCTTGGCGGGCGGATTTCCGTTGAAGAAGTAGGCAGCCAACGACGAGAGGATCCTGACTGGAGTACCAAGCGATCATCTTTTGCAGCAATTACCGCCAGCCTGGGAAGGAGAGAGCCACGCCACGCTAGGACTCCGCTGGCACCCGCAACACGACCAGTTCTCCTTCGTGTTTCATCCGCACGCTGCCATCAATCACACGAAAAGAACGGTTTTATCCAAACCGCACGGCTCTTCGATCCAATAGGGTGGCTCGCTCCAGTCGTGATTCGAGCAAAAATTCTCATTCAATCCACGTGGCTGCAAGGATTGGACTGGGACACCCCGCTGCCGCCATCCGAAGCTCGAGAGTGGCAACGTCTTCTAGAAGAACTCCATCTTCTAGATCAGTTGCAAATAAAACGCTGGCTCGGGACCAGAGCAGATAAGACCACTCTGCAGCTTCATGACTTCGCCGACGCATCCGAACGAGGATATGCCGCCGCAGTATACATCCGCATCACTGAAAGGAACGAAACGTCAATAAGGTTATTGATGGCCAAAAGCAAGGTAGCACCCGTCAAACAAGTGACCTTGCCGAGGCTGGAGTTGTGCGCCGCCACGCTACTCACCAATTTGATGCGACATGTCAAACAAACGCTCGACCTGGCAACATCCGACACATACTTATGGTCTGATTCAACAGTGACCCTCCAGTGGATTCGCGGTCACTCTTCACGCTGGAAGACTTTCGTCGCCAATCGAGTCGCTCACATCCAGACGCAGCTGCCTAATGCACAATGGAGACACGTAGCTGGTCACGACAACCCTGCGGACTGTGCATCAAGGGGTATTAATCCAAGCAAACTGATCAATCACGCTCTATGGTGGACAGGACCTACCTGGTTATCACAGAACGAATCGGCCTGGCCAAACTCCGAGATGGAGATCCGAGGAGACGACGTGCCAGAAAGGAAAGCCACGAGCTTGATGACTGTGAACCGGGTCATCATCGAGCCAGAAATCCTGCTCCGCTTCTTATCACTGCATCGCCTGCTACGGATATCTGCATGGTGCCGTCGCTGGCTGCGCGCTTCCGAGCCGACTCACACTGCTGGATTAACGTTGAGTCCGGAGGAACTTGACATGGCACTCTTTCGTTGGCTTCGAGAAGTGCAGACACTGCATTTCACGGACGAGATCATCGCAGTCGCAGCTGGACGCTCCGTCGCACCAAGCAGCACATTAGCCAAGCTGACTTCGTTCCTCGACGACCATGGTGTTCTGAGAGTGGGAGGTCGGCTTAAGAACGCCCTGCTGACACAGGATAAGAGGCATTCGATGATCATTCCAACCTCGTCGTGGCTGACTCGTCTGCTGGTGGAATCCTGTCACCGTCGGACGCTGCATGGAGGAGTGCAACTCACCCTGGGGCTGCTTCGACTGCGTTCTGGATTCCACGAGGACGCACAGTCGTAAAACAACAACTACATCGTTGCGTCACCTGCACAAGATGGCGAGCAACGACGCTTCAGCCACCGATGGGTAATCTACCCCGCGATCGGGTCACTCCGACTCGACCATTTCTGCGCACTGGAGTGGACTATGCAGGACCCATCCTCATCCGGACGAGCAAGGGACGAGGACACCGCGCCTATAAGGGCTATATCGCAGTATTCATATGTTTTTGGTCCAGAGTCATCCACCTCGAACTTGTCTCGGATTACTCTTCAGAGGCCTTCATCGCCGCTTTACGTCGCTTTGTCTCACGTCGAGGTCTCTGTACGGACATATATAGCGACTGTGGAACGACCTTCATCGGGGCTGACCGCACTTTACGTGAGCTCTTTGTCACTGCATCCACAGAGGGTCGTGGAATTGCACGCGTAGCTGCTGAACACGGCATACGGTGGCACTTTAATCCACCAGCAGCTCCGCACTTCGGCGGATTGTGGGAAGCAGCCGTCAAATCCGCTAAGTATCACTTACGGAGGGTGTTAGGTGAAACCACCCTCACCTTTGAGGAACTGACCACACTCCTCACACAAATTGAGGCCTGTTTAAATTCTCGTCCATTACAGGCACTCTCTGACGATCCAGACGATGTTACAGCACTGACTCCGGGCCACTTCCTGATCGGCGCGCCGCTTCTCGCCATCCCGGAGCCAGTACAGGAGGACAACCGTGGATCCGCAGCATCACGATGGCATCATCTCCAGGCAATGCGCGACCACTTTTGGCGGAGATGGGAGAATACATCCATGGACTCACCTCACGACCTAAATGGCTGAAGGTCGAGACAACACCTCGCATCGGAGCACTCTGCCTTGTGCGCTCCGAGATTTCGCCTCCAAACCGGTGGCCTCTCGCCCGGATCACAAAACTGCATCCCGGCGACGACGGGATCGTACGCGTGGTCACCGTTCGAACCGCGACCTCCGAGCTCGTGCGTCCGCTTGTAAAAATTGTCTTACTTTCCGACTTCGCAACGGACGTAACGACACGCAACGCATAGACAGAAATGCACGACGCGTCACATCACTCACACATCTTTGCTCACGTTCATTCGCTATGCACTTGATTACACATCACATACGCACTGTAACCACTTTTTACATTCACGCACATTATTTCACATCGAAAACGCGTTTCACTATTTTCAGCTGATCGCACCACGCTGTCAACACGTGTTCATCGTTTCAGCTGATCGAGCGACATTCCACGCGATAATCACGTGTATCTCGCCGCGCCGGCGCGCGCCTACCCCACTATCAATCGCTATCGAGAATTCATAGCGACTTATTGTCAGCGGGTGACAAGGCGGGCGGAATGTTCAAAATTGAGAAGAAAATTAATAATTGTTTAAGTCTATAATTTCAGTCTAAAAATCGATATTTTCTTACATGAATATGCGAAAAAAAACCGCGGAAAAAAGGGCTCGTCCGATATAAACAAGTAGGCGATAAATCAGGATTATCCTAACAAGCTGTCAATAATAACAACATTGCTCAACCGAAAGCAACGATTACCGCATTGATTATCGATGTAATAGACATGCGCCGTTCGATCACGTGGCTTCCGAAAGCCAATCGATCCCGCTATCGAGCGTTTCGCGCATGTCAGGTGCGTGCTTGTTTCGCGCAAATTACGGGGCGGCCAATAAAGACAGGCGCCCTCGCGTCACCTTCGAACATTTTTAAACAAACGAAATTAATTGGTGAAGCAAAAATTAGTGGGGCTTCAGTACCGCACCGATAAAAGAAGCGCCCACCAAAATTGCGGGGCTAGTCTCTCGAATCTTAGTACGTACAACCGCTGTCAAACCGCTTAGAAATTACCGCAATTATTAACCGCACACACACTTTGAAATCGATCTCGGCTTATCTACTGGAACTTTTGTAAAATTACTGTATCGTCTAAACTGTGTTAAAGTAAACTCTGTGTTATTTTTTAAAGGGTGATCAATTCTTTTCGGCCTTCAAATACGCGCTCTCCTTCACGCGTACGCGCAAACATAATGTGTTCTACTGCGTTTTTTCATATTATAAGTCTATATATTTTACATGTATGATAAGTTCTGTCTTTCCAAATTATTTAATTTATGGATATGTTAGCAAAGCGATATTTGTATTGATAAAGACTGTCGTACAGTTGAAACGTTTACTAATAGCGTTTTCGATTGGGGTGCACTGGCTGCACTGAATGTCAGGCGCGTGTTCGATTGGTAGTGCCAATGCGCACTTGGCTAGTGTTGCGTGTTTGTTTGAACGCACAACACTCGCATAGTGCGCATTCAGTGCGCACTAAGTGGCACGAGATATTTTGACGGTGCCAGTTCAGTGCACTGGATGCATGCAAGCAGTAGGGCATTCTTTTGAACGAAAATTCGACATAATGAGCAATTCGGATTTGGCTCTCTTTAATATTTTGGAGACATTTTTGGAATCTTCTTCTAGTTCAAGCGAGCAAGAAGAAATAATTACAACTCTTCGAACTAGAAGAATAATTCCAAAAACTGTAAATTATGTAGAATGTGTGAAAAAAATGGATAATGACACTGTAAGTGTTATATCTTTTTATATAAACATCGAACCTATACCCTTTTTTAAAATATAATTAATGTACTTAATGTAATAGCATTTTTATACTGGATAATAATAATTTTTATATTTGTCATACGTGATATTCTTGATCATCTTCTATATTTAATTACATATAATAAAAATCATTACTTAACTGAACACAAGATGTCGAGGTTACTTTTTCGTTCTTCCCGGAATCTAGTCAACTCAAGTGGCACTGAAAATTTCGGCGTGTTCTTTTTCACCTGCACTATTCAGTGCAACCCATGGAACTTGTCCAGTGTTCGTGTGAACTGAGTGCGCACTGGTGCGCACTAACTTTTTCCCAATCGAAAACGCTATAATTATCATTTGTATTATTTTCATGACGTAGAATAAATTGTTAACACCTAATTAATTAGCTCGTTAAGTTGGCCTTTTAATTTATAACTTATTTTAATTTTACACAAGCCAAATTTTATTTTTTATTATATATATTTACTTCTTTGTTTGCCGGAATAAATTCTTTTAATTGTTCCAAATAATGTCCATGAATCAAGCAGTAACAGACTTTTTTTTCTTTCGTATTTTGTCTTGATTTTATTTCTCAAGAACTAATTTCCGCAACATAACTTTATTATATTTATACATATATAGTTAAATTTGGCGTAATACATAAGCTTTAAAATATATATAATTTAAAAATTTTCTCAAAATATAAAAAAATATTGAGTGGGAAAAGGGTAGTTTGAAAAATTGTATCATTTAAAAAAAATCCAAATACGCCATTGTAAAGTACATTTGAAGCCAAACTTTTGTGTAACATTGAAATCTTTTATATTTCTATTCGTCTCGACAATATTCGCTTCGGAATGTAAAAACAGATTTTCTGACGATTGGTTGCACCCCTAAACCCATTTTTAGCACTAACAAAAATGATTTCGTTATTAGACTTATTACCCTAAAATTGTGCTGAGTTTCAGATTTTTAAAATTTTCAACTTACCGAACGTTCCTTGTCAGCCAAATATAAACTTGTATCAATTTTGCAAATTATTATTTGATTTGATATATAGAATCACTTTTGTATTTTGAAGGATGCATAGTCAAAACGATTTAGACCTGACATTGAAAAGATTAAAAGGACGAAAAATTTAACCCGGGTCGAGACATTAAAATGACATCAATTTTTAATACAAGATCTAAATCGTTTTGACTACATAGATGATAACATCATACATAAAAATACATAGGTGACTTTGTGATAAATTTTTCAGATCAGATCTGCAAAATTAGAATCTGTAAAAGTAATACAAAATATATGGCTGAGTAGCTTTTTTAAATATTTAAATTAATAAAACTTTGTTTATATACTTTAATTTTTATTTATTTGGCGCAGTTTTTTGATGTCATAATTCTTTTGTAGAATATATATAATTTGTAGAATATATATAATTTGTAGAATTTATATAACTGAATTTTGTAGAACAATTTTTTGTGGGACAATTTCTTAGTAATTAAAAAATAACATTGTTTTTTTTTATATAATATTTTTACTTGGCGCTTTTTTACCTTTTTTAAAAAAGTAAGTTTTTTTATAGAAGTAGTCTTACATTTATTTAAATACATTTTCTTGCAATACAGTAGAAGCTGCTTTGCAGCATAAAAATATTTGTGTCGCATTATATCTATTTTGACCTATTTAAATTCAAAATTTTCATAATATCCGTTAAACTTTGATTTATGTAAATTCTACATTTATTTAAGTACATTTTCTTGCAATGCAATAGAAGTTGCTTTGCAGCATTAAAATATTTGTGTCGCATTATATCTATTTTGACCTATTTAAATTCAAAATTCTCATAATATCCGTTAAACTTCGATACCGCATGCAATATGTTAATTCAAATTGAATGAATAATCTATTTTATTTTGCATATTCTATTTTGATAAATACAAAAGTCAAGATTTTTAAGCTTATTAATATTTATAGTTTATTAGCATTTACACTTTACACATACACATTCATTAGTATTTATACCTTAAACATACACTATTTTGAAAATTTTATTAGTTAATTTGCATTATATTAATGAAAAATGTTATACATAGTGTTCAATAATTCGCGACCCACCTTTCATGGGCAGATAAAGCATGTTAAACTGAATAGAAACGTCCTGTATCATTTTGCAATATTTGCAATAATTATTGAGTTATTTATTAAAATATCTAAGCAAATAAGCGGAAAGAAGCATTATCTGATCGAGAGGCGGCGTCATGCAGCGAACAGTGAGCAATATAGCGGCGCCGAAAAGTAAGATGATACGTTTGAGACTCAGCAACATATAACAAATAAGCCGTCCGGCATGCCCACCGAGTCCGACCTACCGCTTTCTATCTGTTTATTCGCTTACAAAGGGAGGTCGCGGTTGACTCTTCACCGATTTTGATCTCCTTTGGTGTGGTGAATCTATATCGAAAAAAATTGAGTGTTCGAGCTTTTCGTCCAATGCGCCTTCTAAAAAAAAAAAAAATTTTTCCTTGCATTTGGAGAAATTACCAGATTTGTTATCAGGCTTAAAGAAAGATACGCTTTTGATCGGTGCCGCTAGTCCAGTGGCAGAACACAAAAATAGTAATCCCGGGTTCAGGACTTTGAGCTGTCATAATTTTTAAAATTTTTTTAATTTTTTATATTTTTTTATTATTGTATATACTTATATTTATATAATATGTATTATTTATTATAATAAATAAATATTCGGCATACTAATAATGTTAGAATATACATTCTATTCTAACATTATTAGTATGCCAAATATTTATTTATCATAATAAATAATACATGTTATAAAATAATAAAAAAATATTTAAAAAAATATAAAAAAATTATGGCAGCCCAAAGTTCTAAACGCGGGATCCCGGAATTACTATTTTTGCGCTTTACCACTGGACTAGCGGCACAGATCGAAAGTGTATCTTTCTTTAAGCCTAAAAACGAACCTGGCAATTTCTTCAAATCCGAGGAAAAAAAATTTTTTTTAGAAGGCGCATTGGACGAAAACCTCGAACATGGATCAACTTTTTTTTTATGTAGATTCAACACACCAAAGGAGATCAAAATCGGTGAATAGTCAACCTCGAACTCCCCTTGTAAGTTCATTATATAAATTAATCTCGAACTTACATATGGAGAAATAAGCGAGAAAAATATAGGTCCGAAAAGTCGCTGAAGCGGGAAACGAACCCGCATCTTTTCAACGCAACTTTTCAAAAGTGAAAGATGAAAAGTGAAGGGTTCGTTTCCCGCTTCAGCGACTTTTTGGACCTATATTTTTCTCGCTTATTTCTCCATATGTAAGTTCGAGATTAATTTATATATGGAACTTAGTAATCTCAAACCAATAGATACAGTTCCGAAGAATTAATTTTTCGCGCTTGAGCTCTATTGGCCAATTTAAAATATTATAAATACAACTAGTGATAGATAAAAAAGCCAACTTATCGAGCAATTATTAGAGTTGTTCTGTCAAATAAAATTTATTCCATGTATAAACTAGGCAGAGTTTGAAATGAGGTGTCTTTTTATATTGTTGGTCTTATCTTGTGTCATCTTCAATAACTTTTTCAAAAAAACGTGGTTAAAATTGTCAAAAAGGACGATGTCAAGTAAGCATATTGCTAATTGTTAAGGATATATATTTTAATTTTTGACATACGTTAATCGTCAATTTTTTATTAATCGCAGCGCCTACGGAACGTATTAATTTCTCGCATATTAACGATGAAACTTTTCGAGATTTGATTAAAATTAAAGATCATATCGAGGCGAACATTTGTTGGATATGACAGATTGAAACACGCTTTAATTGCTTATAAATTCTCGACTCTTATTGAAAAACTAACATTAATTTTCGATATTATGTGGAATTTTTGTATGATTTTGTATTTTTTAATAATTACTGTAATATAATACTGAGGAAGACCGCGTGCGGTTGAAACGTTTATTTTATAATGATTGTAATTTTCACTTAAGTTTGAGTATAGAATGTTTGTAGCTTTTACATAATGTTTTATGTTTAGTTTATACATGGAATAAATTTTATTTGACAGAACAACTCTAATAATTGCTCGATAAGTTGGCCTTTTTATTTATCACTAGTTGTATTTACAATATACGAGCGAAACTTTGTATCAATTGATTTTAAATTATCATATTTATATTATTATTAATTTAATAAATTTGTGTGCCCCATTAACCGTGCTGGCTCTCATTGCCTTTATATTTTTTATATATTTTATTACATTTTTATTTGATCCCGAAAGATATTTTACTTTTAATTTTTTTTCATAAAGTCTTAAGATACATATATTTGCATATAAATTACATGGATCATCAAGTACAAAGTTCTATCTTTCACTAGTTATAAAAGACAGAACAATAAGCTAATCAGACAGAATAGTGTTGAATGTTTGACTTTTTAGATATTAGTTGTAGCTAACAATAAGTTTTTTTTATATTAAATCCTTTTCTTTCTCGAGGTACAAACTGAACATAATCATATCAATTGCTCACAGAATTGAGTAGAAGTACACAATGAACGTGTCGAAAATATTTCATTATTATTGGACGGAAATAGCAGGTAAGTAACATGATGTCAATGACAGATGTATTGGTATATAATCCTATTAGAATATAAAAAAAATGTTTTATAGAAAAGTTCGTTACATGGAAAAGTTTATTATATTTAATATGAAAAATACAAAAAAAGTTTTTATATCCCATTTATAAAATTTCTTATTTAATATAGTCGTCTTACGCTTCTATCAATTTTCCCAAATTTTTGTTCTAAAGTGCGACATGTCTTCGTGATCTATAATCGTATACGCTACTTCGATGAGTGCCCGAAGGGAAACAACTTTGAGATGTCTAGACTAGGTGTGTCTTTCGATTACACTCCACACGTAGTAGTCGAGAGGGTTAAGATCGGGATTATTACAAGGCTAGAAATCCTCCTTCGACCAAAACATATCCACGTTAGAGAGCTAATTTTGAATTAAATGACTGATGTGAGCGAGAGCGACGTCTTATTGAAAATGTGCAGTTTCCCAGGGTCACAACCTCCATCCAAAGCTTCATCAGCTATCCTCAGAAATCTTCAAAATATTTCCTTTGTAACCGGTTTTCTCTTGTGAAAGAAATTCGGCGACATAACGTCGCCCTCACTTGAGACGACGCTTAAGACGTAGATACTAGGAAAAAAAAATTTTGCTTTTTACGACGATGTTCTCGGTGTTAGCAAGCCAATCGTCCTTCTTGGTCGACGTTTTTTGAGCGCGCGGTCTTTCTACAAGAAATTGCCATTTTTTTATTATATTTTTAAGGAGAGATGTCAAAAACTATTTTTGACCTAAAAGCAGAACCTACATAAATCAACAACTGAAAACTTTTTGGAATTTTTTAGAAGCAAAAAAAAACAATTATTTGTTCACCAGGTCCGGGGAAAGTTGTGAAAATCAAAATTTATTATCGATTATTGGAAGTCATATAAAGATTTTAAACTTTATAGCCATGATGTCTATTCAAAATAAAATCAATTATACACTTATACAGTATATGGAAAAATAAGTAGTAATGTGGAGAATTTAATGTTTTGATTTACATAATTTACTTTACACTTACAGGATGTGCTTAAAGTTTGGAAATGATTGAATATTTTATAAACTGCATTTATAAAATACATTTAAAAAAAAATTTCAAACAAAAGTTGTAGCGCTTAAAGTATTTAAAGTATTTATTTTATAGAATCTCAAAAATAGTTTACAATGGTTGATTTAGATTCTGCTTCTGGGTCAAAAATGCCTTATTTTTAAATCTTCCTTTGATTTTATGAATTTGATTGTTTTGAGATTATAAAAGTCTTATCAACGTATCCAACCTATCTTAGCGTTAATTAGCACCTACCCTTGAATTATAATATATAAAAGTGTCAACCCTTCGGGTCACCGATTTTATTGAACTATTGTAGAAATATAGTATTCATATAGAAGTAATACATATTATTTGAAGACAATGCGTCTCTCAAGCGTTGATGAGAAATCGCGGTGTGAAGTTTAGTACATTCCTTAGTTTTTTCGACTCACAGCGGACTTAGCAACGAACTACAAGTATAAAGGTTGCTAGTTCGCGTCCCACTTTTTCTATAATTTCTTTTTTTTTTTTCAATATTTTCTATATTATTATACATTATATAGAATAAATTTATTATTATTACTTTAAAAATATTTATTATTATTTGAATTGTATTGTGCATAAACCCTGTAAGCGCATAATATTATTTAATATTTAAGCAATATTCTAGTAGTTTTAGAATATTTAATATATATTCTTAGAATATTTAATATTTTAAAAATACGCCTAGAATATTAAATAATATCATGCGCTTATAGGGAAATTTTTTTCTAATAAAACATTGGCGATTTTAAAAATAACATTTTAGGCAATATATGTCGCCGGTGGAATATTCATGATATAAAAACATAAGTTTTAAATATATAATATATTTATTGCTTTTGGTATATTATATTTATTGCTATAAATGGGAATTTTAATAAAATAACTATAATAATCCTTCATCTTGCTATGTAATTTTAGAAAATTTGGAATAATTTCAAAAAGACAGGTGAACTATAGGATTGACTTACATCGAGCACACCTTATGAACTCTTTTGTAAATATATTTTGTTTTCAATAATGAGACAAGAAAACACCAATTTAAACCCAATAAATATATTATATATTTAAAACTTATGTTTTTGTATCATATAAATATTTCATCGTCAATATATGTATACAGGATGATTCTAAACAATCGTTTGTACTTAAAATGTCGTTTCCGACTCGATTCTATTGTAAGACGATTTTTTCTTTGTCAAAATTTTATTCGATGCTTAGTTTTCAAGATATTAAAAGAAATAGTTAGCGAATTACGGCGCGCGTACGGGCAGTAAGCAGGAGCGGCGCAACTCATTATCCGACGCGAGCGATTACGTGGGTGCTCGCTGCAATCAGCTGTTTGTTACACGTGATATGTGCGTACATGCGTGCATGCGCACGCGCGAATACACACACACATAATATCTTTCTTTCTCTTTTTCCTTTCACTTATTCTTACCTTGAAGAGATGTTTGATGTCCTGTGATGAATAATTGTCGCCTGAGTAGATAGAATCAGATGTTGACACACTGTGTCCCACTGCATAATAAAATAATTTTTCTTCTTCATAAATTGTGTCGACATGGACTTGCGCACTTGATTGAAAATTATTGTAATAAATAACTGATTACAACACTTAATCACAATCTGAGAAAAAAAAAGAACCCTAAAAGAGGTCAAATTTTAACCCGTTTACTGGACCTTGAATTTCGCTTATTAATGTTGATGTTACATAATTTTCTTTTGTAACTACAATTTAACTGTATTTTAAAACTGTTATATTTTTTTGGTATTTTCTAGTTATAACAGTATAACAATAATAAAATAAAAATATAACACGTTATATAACAAGCGTTGCGTTAGCATTATTTATATGTTATATAACATATTCTGTAATAACCCAGCAAACACCAAGTAACAATTATATAACTGTTAATTATAATTTCCCACTCAACAATATATAAATGCACTATAACTATAAATGCAATATAACACACGTGTTTCAACTTTCGAGTCTATGTTTATAATTTTAATTTAAACTGTTTTGTTTATATCAGTGATATTGATTAAATGTAATAAATTAGTTTATAATCTTCATATTATTACTGCTGCTCTTATTAGCCTCTTATATGTGTAATATTTTATTTAAATTAGAACACAATTTGTGACTCGAAATTCGAGGTCTAGTAAACAGATTAATTGTGGGGTCACTCTTTCTCTCAGAATTTACCCTGAAAATTATGGTAATCTATGACACGCCGTTTTACTTTATAATAACAAAAAATACTCCATTTAATATAAAAGTTGCATTAATTAATTGTCTTATAAAATATCAATAAAATTTATGTTAGTACATAACAATAATTCCATGAATTAAAATTATATCGCGACATAATAATGCATCAAATATTTATTATGTCTCGACATAATTTTAATTTATCAAACTATTTTTATGTTGCGATATAATTTTAATTCATCAAATTATTATGTCGCGACATAATAAAAATTCGATGAATTAAAATTATGTTGAGACATAATAAAACTTCGATGAATTAAATTTATGTCTGGGTATAAAAATAATTCCCAATTTTTATTATGTCTCGATATAATTAATAATCTAATTAATAATCTTATGTATCGATATAATAAATAAAGAAAAGTAAGAAATCGAGCAACTACTGATCGGGACGATTCTCGTATTGTACGAGAAATTAAAAAAAACCATGTTCAACGGTACGGACTATTAAGAGAACCTCCAGCTAAAGGTATTACATAAAACAATTCGACAAAGACTCCGGGAAGTTTTGCACAGTCGATTTGCAAAAACGGTCCTTTATTAGTAAGCGAAATAAAATTAAGCGTTTGGAGTTTGCAAAAAAATATGCAGGAATGCCAATTGATTTTTGGAAAAAGGTTTTATGGTCTGACGAGAGTAAGTTTGAATTATTTAATTGGACAACAAGATTTAGAGTATGGAGAAAAAACGGAGAAGAGTATCAAGAGCGTCATTTGCAATCGACTGTAAAGTACGGAGAGGCAGCATTATGATTTGAGGTTGCTTTGCTTGGTTAGGAGTAGGAAATTTGATCAAAATCAATGGTATATTGACGGCAGATATGTATGTTGAAATACTTTATGAAAATCTGGAAACATTATTGCTTTAAGTTGGATTGAAAGATAGTTTCATTTTCCAGCAGGACAATGATCCGAAACATACAGCAAAAAACATTTTTCAAACCGAATGAAATAAAACTTCTTGATTGGTCTCCACAATTACCCGATCTCTATCCTATACAAAATCTATGGTCGATTTTAGATGAGAAAATTAATAAAACGGGAGTAACAAACAAGGAAAATTATTTCGCGGCGCTTAGAAGAACTTAAGAAAAATTAAATGAAAAATATCTTCAAAATCTTGTGGAGAGTATGCCAAAACGACTTCAAGCAGTGATCAAGGCGAAAAGAAGCCACATCAAATATTAACTTTAGTTATTTTTTATTTTTCTGATCTTTTTTTTAAATTAAATGGTCTTTTTTTCTAGCGGTAAACGAAACATTCTTGAAAAAACAAATTTTTAATACAAATAAAATTTTATCTTTTTATTGTATAAATATTAAATTCAAATAAATAAAGAATGATTTGAGTCAAAAACATTAAAACTTTTCTAATATTTTTATAGTTTTTCCAAACAAAAACTTAAAAAATAGAAAGTGGTACCTTTTTTTGTCAGTCACTGTATATACAGGATGTTAAAAAAGTGTCGCATACGCTCAGTGCCATTCGATAGAGAATGAGAATCTAAAAATAAATAAATGTCTAATACTATTTTTCGTTCCAATGAATAATTTCGCCGCAATTAATTATTGTAATTAGTCAATCAACGCGGAGCTACAAGAAAAAGTCAGGCGCAGAGCGCGCGAAGTTAGCTGCGGCGCGGCGGTTACTGCGCTTATGTATGATACGCCGTTTTACTTTTTAATAACAAAAATAATTCCATTTAATATAAAAAATTTTAATAATTGTTTTATAAAATATAAATGAAATAAATTTATTAATACATAACGATAATTCCATGAATTAAAATTATATCGCGACATAAAAATAATTCAATGAATTAAAATTATATCGAGACATAATAAAAATTCCGAATTATTATGTCGCGATATAATTTTAACTTATTGAATTTTTATTATATAGTGACATAATAATAATTCGACAAATTAATTCTATCGCAACATAAAGATATTTTGGTGAATTAAAATTATGTCAAGACATAAAAATAATTTTGTCAATTAAAATTATTTCGAAACATAATAAAAATTCGGGATTATTATTATGTCGCGATATAATTATAATTCATAAA